CAGTAGTTTTTATTATTTCTTTAATTAGTATATTTTTATCCCACCTTTGTTCCGTGGAGATGAGGAAGGGTACGTGGTATTCCCTTCTTTCATTTTATCCTCATTATAACCCTGTGTGGTAGTTGAAGCCGAGAAGGAATGTCTGGCCTAAGGTCATTTTGTGAGCTTCATTGCAGTGGGGATTTAAACCTGGGACTCCCAGATCCTAGTTGGATATTCCAACCAGTATACGACACTGGATCACACTAATAGGTGCTCTCCTAGTCTGAAGAGAAGCATTTCTTGAATCTCTGGGGGTGTTTCTCCCCTATATGTATATGTATATGATTTGATACAGATGGTCCTGCAACAGTGGAGGAAAGGCAATTGATCAAGTTAGATGAAAGGTAGCATTAGATCTAACACTAGTTTTGTGTAGTCTGTAGGTTCCACTTCATATCTATATATCTAATAGCCAAGGCACCCCACGTGTGTGGATATCTAAATCTGCACATTGGGGGCACCTGGGGGGCAGGGAGATTTCCCTGCACATTTGGGGCAATCCCCAGATGTGCAGAAAAATCTGAAATCTATAAAAAACTATAGGGGGATACCTAAATCCCCCCAAAAGTAAAAGAACATTCCCATGCGCATGCGCAGAGAACGCTCTGAGAACTGCCTTGCCACCGGGGGGGAGGGGGATAAGGCTTGGCAGGCCAGTGGCTGTGAGCTGCTGAGCCCTCGCCACAGCCACCGCTGCTGTGGGGGGGGAAGCTTGGTGGGTCCACCCTTGCCGTCTGCTGGGGCGGGAGGGGGAAGGAGAAAACTTGGCGGGCTGCTGCCACTGCTGCTGCTGGGGAGAGGGGGGGAGGAGAAAGCTTGGCGAGCTGCCTCGCCGCTGCCACCGGGGGGAGGGAGGGGGAGGGAGGGAGAAGGCTGTGCTCACCTGCTGCCACGTCTCCTGCTTCTGCAGGCCGGGAGCTGTGGGGAATACTCCCCCCCCATGAATATTGCGGGTCCTGCCTCTTGTAGCCATCTAATTCTAAAGCAAATAAGACCACCTGTTTGATTTTTGGCAAAATAGTGTGTATGTTTGTGTATCTGTATTCCTATTTCTGTAAATTTCTTTGTGGAATCCAGGGGCATGGGGGGGGGGAGATCTGACACTGACACCTTGACTTGGGAGAATAACAGCATATGGATGGATCCTGAATCCCTGCCGCCTGATAACCCCACAACAAGAAGTGCCAAAAAGAACTGAGGGAACTCTGTGGGTGCCATCTGCTGTGTAGTCCCCTTGCCACCTGGTGGTGACAGCCCCACCGACAGCCCCCTAGCTGGGCATGCTGCTAAATCTGGCTCTATCTCAAGACTTCTTAAAGGAGTCCCAGAACCATGGGATGTGGGCACACAGGCATTGCTTCCTAACCAAAAGGATCTCTCCCATGCCCAAACCACCCAGAATTCTGACAGTAATGGAAAACAATAATATATCCCATGGCAACCCAATCACAGGGAGAGTGGGCGGGAAAACCACAGCGAATGGAGGCCCAGGAGAATGTGGCTCTTGGTTTTTTAGGGGAGGGGTGAGCAAACAAAGCCCACCTGGATCTCCCTCCTCCTCCTCCTCCCAGCCCACAAGATGGACATGTACTCACGTAGGGTTCCAGTAGCCCTTGGTGTAGACCCTACCCTCCAGCCATGCGGCTTGGGGAAGACATCAGTTGCATGCTCAACTCGCCAGCTGCCCCAAAACCCCAGGACCAGAAAAAGCGGCATGGGGTAAGTCCCAGCTGCATCTTCTCATGTGTGTTCCTTGGTCTTTTGATTCTGCTTCTTAAAAAAACAGAGAAGCATGAAGAATTCTAAAATGGCTACACTTTGGTCAATAGAAAGTCCTAGCCAAAGCAGAGAAAAATGGCTCAGACAATGTATTCCATTTCTGTCATAGTCACCTTAGAAAACCAGGAGGCTGTAGGTTGTTCAGAGTTCTTTAGCGCACCTTTGGCTGCTGTGTTAAATGCACCCATTCCTCGTTCAGTCTGATCTAGAAACATTGACCCATGGGTCACATTTGTTACATTTAGACTGGATTATTGCAATGCGCAGTGCTACCATTGAAGACCACTTGGAAGCTGCAACTAGTGCCAAATTCTGCAGCTAGACTACTAGTTGGGAGCAGGTGTCTCTGATACTATAGCAATTACAGTGGCAATTGATCCACTCCTGAGCCCAATTTAAGGTGTTGAATTTTTTGCCCATTAAAGGTCTACATGGTTTGGGATTGGGATATCTGCAGGAATTAAGATCATGGAGGGCCTTCTTATCAGTGGCATCCCCATGATTATGGAATAACCTCCCAAACATGTTTGATTGAACAGCCACAGAGTCCCTTGACATAAACAGAGTCTCACTTTTCTTTTTTCATGTAAACAGCTCCTCAGATAGAAACAACATCAGCGTCTTTCACAAGTGAGTTCTATTTTCTCCATTTAGAATACAGTCTATACAATAAAATGTGGGTAAAGGAATTGGAAATGAAATTAAACAAATTGGAAACTGGGATGCTTTGCAAGCACATCTCCCTCTCAAGAGAAGCCAACATGTAACTTTATATTCATGTGGAAATAATACGCAGTAGCTCGTCTCCCTTGTAAATCATTCCTAGGGATTCCAATGCAGAACTACATCCATCCCTTCTTAAGAGCGGGGGGGGGGAGGCCACTGAAATTTTGTAACAGCCTGGAGATTTTGGGGGGAGGGCTTGGGAAGGGTGGATTTGGGGCGATGTCACTTCCTTCATTTCCTCTAGGAATTTCCCCAAATCTATGGTCTTTAGTACAAAGTTTGGAAGAATTCCTAGATGGTCAGTCAGAAGTTATGCTACTTCCAGGTGGAGACGTTGCTTGCTATGATGACACTTCTGGGTTATTCTCAAAAATTCCTGCAGTCTCTGTTGTAAAGTCCAAGCTCTATAGTAAAGAATAGTTTAAAGACTAGTGTCACCATCTACGCTGTCCCCCCCCCCATTTTTTTCTCTCACCTATAAAATTAACAAGGGCAGGTGACTGAAGGTGGGGGTGGGAGGTTGACTGCTGCCACCAGGCAAATGGCAACCCTCTCCAAATATCACACAGCAAATGATCATTTATTTGTTATATTTTACACTTCAGTAATGAAACAGTCTTGGGCTGTCTCTGTTATACTTATTTGGCAAATCCTTCCGTCTCAATTCAGATTGTTCAGACAAGTAAAAGAAAAGGAGATTCAAGAGAAATTCTTTTTAAAAAGAGTCCCCAATTATGTTACATTTGTTTGCCTCAGTTTATAACCCCCCACCCCACACACACACACTATTACCCGTTAGGTGCTGCTAATACTCTGGCAGCTCTTTCCTTCTCCCCCTACTCTTCCTCTACGGTGGCAGTGGCAGTTTCTCTCAAATTCTCTTCTTCTCTTCTTCTTTTTCTTGGCAGCAGCAGTATTTGCAGGTCTGTTTCTGTTACTCCAGAATTTCTTCTCCCCTGTGCTATGGCTAGGTTAGGGTTTCTGGTGCTAGGTCTATGGGTATATGTAGTCAACTAGTTCCAGGAATCCTGAGGAAAAGACATCCTAGTGTTTTTAGTGGTTGGTAGAACAACATACATTGCAAGCTTTTATGAACTGGAGAAAGTATAGAAGACACCAGGGGGCGGGGGGAGGTTCAGATTGCAGCTGCCTTCCCCATAGTCACACATGTTGTGCCACTTCTGATCACGCAACTGGTGGGATCAGTTCACACTTCCCCTCATGGGTTCCCTCTGTCCCTGGGTGGGTTTTGGGTTTTGTTTTTTGCTGTTTTTTAAACACAGGCGCTGAAGCTTTTGAGCATTTCAGCAGCCTTGTTCACCTCTCTTCCTTGGAACACATCAGGAAAGTGCAAAATCCCAAATGCAGATTTACACAGGAGTAGCCCCATGGGCTTCAGTACATTTACTCTCATGCCAATCATGGGAGGCTCTCAAACAGCAACTCTGAAGCGGAAAAGATTATTTATTTTCTCACTCACTTGGCCCCTGCCATTTTCAACCAGAAAACATTGAAAGAATGGAACAAAAGGAAGAAGGGCTTTCCCCACCTGGGGAGAAGGGTGCAAAGGGTCAAGAGACAATCTAGTGTATCTTAGATGAGAGTGTAAACCAAAAGAAGGACATGATCCTGGCTTTCAAAGGCTGCAGAGAAAGAGAAAGAGAGGCAGAGAGAGGCGACCAGATGCATGCACACATGCATGCGCGCACACACATACACATACTCAAAGAGGAAGGTCCCCCAAAGTGAATGATTGCTTGTTTCAATGCTGGCACCTTCCATCATTTAAATGTTTCTCCACTGGGGTGCAAATTAAAAAAAAAACCATCCAAACCTGCCCACCCCCCCTTTCTTGGAGGGTGGGTTGTGCTGGAAGTCACCAATGTGGAAAAAATAGTTCAGATTATGAGCAGAGGCTTTGTTGCGAATACATTTCGCTTTGTAAAAAAAGTGCAGGAGAAACCAGTTTTATTAGGAGGGGGAAATGAGGCAGCCATGGGATGTTTATGAAGTTGTCTGAACACAAGGAAAAATGCTTACATCGGGTAATGCAAGTGGATTTTTAAGGCAATGTGAAAGACACCCATATGTGTGAGAAAAAAAGGCAGAGGCCACCTCAATCACTGCCATATAACAGGAGAGGGAGAAAGAAGCAGCCAGCCAGTTTGTCACCAGAGCAGCAGTAGGCTAGTAGGTGTTCTTTGCCAGAGAAGAACTCCGTGGCCTTACTGATGTAAGCATCAGAAGCACTGACTTCACATTTTAATTGCATACTGGTGACTTCATTTCTCAATCAGTTATCTAAACTTTCCTTGAATGGCCAGTCAAAGCCACAAGAATTCCCCTTTTAATTAGTTGATACTAGATCATGAAAAAAGTCAGGAATTAATGATCACTTGCATGACACTGTTATTTCCGTCCATAAATTAGCACTCTCGTGTTCTGGAGGATTCATGCACGTCCGCATCAGCAGAGACTACATACGGACATTGGGATACAATGCATCGGATTTGCATCTCAATCAATCAGACTCTTCCTGTACACCTGAAATTACTTCCGACTACGTTTACTTCCCAATACCGTTGTATGGTTGTGGCACAGAAAGACAAGTAAGAAATGGGGGGTGGGTATAAAGTTTGAAACAAAAACATGGTCTGGTTCTAGGGTTGCCAAGTCTGGGTTGGAAAATACCTGGAGACTTTGGGGGTGGAGCCAGGAGAGGGCGTGGTTTGGGGAGGGGAGGGGCCTCAGCATGGTACAATGCCATAGAGTCTACCCTTCAGAGCAGCCATTTTCTCCAGGGGAGCTGATCTCTGTCGGCTGTGGATCAGTGGTAAATGCGGGAGATCCCCAGGCCCCACCTGGAGGCTGGCAACCCTATCTGGTTCTTTGGGACACATCTATTATATATGGATGTGGAAAGTATTTCTTCTAGTAACTGTACAACCTGGGGAAGACATCTAACTGGCTCCCTCTTCACCATGGTTAAAAACTCTACAAGGTGACATAGGGAAATGTATGCTCCCTACTTCATTCCCACATTCCCACCAGTACCCTGGAATTTCTTTCCCCCCCTCGTGCCTTACTTACAGTTGAGAGAAACATCAGCATTGCTCATCCTGATTAGAGGGAACCCAAGATAGGGTTAAAGTCAGCCTCAACATTTACCTTAACTATGGCTGAATCTAGAGGAAGAACTTTGTCCTGGAAGGGTATGAGGAGTGTGAGTTCCCCTGTCTTCTGATTTACATGACTTCAGTTAAGAGGGAGGCAGCATTCTGTCTGCAGGAGCCCTGAGTATGCCGTGCATTTTTAAAAATAACAAATGTCTGTATAACTATCTTTTTTGTGCCACATTTCTTTTGTTTTGGTGTGTGTGGGGAAATAATGCAGTTTTAAAAGATTAAAACCATGTCTTGTGTTAAAGAAACCCATTATAGCCAATGCTCCCTCTAAGCTGTGGAGTCTTGTGAGCAAAAATTCTACTTTGTGAGCTACTGGCATTAAAGTTGTGAGTGTGTGATTTGGCTGCTGTATAAATTAGTTTGTTCTGGAGCCATCCTTCCTGAGCTAAGACAAAAATGTGTGAGCCGGAGCTAAAGAAACCGTGAGCTAGCTCACACTAACCCAGCTTAGAGGGAACACTGATTATAACTCTAAACTTTATGGAAAAGTTTTTTAGAAATGATCAGTATAATGGTCTATTACAATGTAAAAGTAATTTACCTGACAATATGATATTGACATGCCTTTTCCCCTGTCCTTTAGCAGGAGAGTAATGACACCACGATCGATTATTCCAATGTCATCATAGCATCTGCCTCTGGTCATATCATTACAAGGGAACGAGACTTTGAATTTCATGTTTCATGTAAAATGAATAAGGACATTGTTGTTGAAGCAAAGTATGTTGCCAATAATCTCGTTGACATCACTAAAAGAGTGTCAGGAAATTACAACGTTAGTATGTCACTCTTTGAATCACAATGGTATAGTAGGCCAGTTCAGAGCTATCCATACAAGATTCATCTCAAACAGGATTTATATTTCCAAGTCACTCTGAACAGTCTCGATCCGAACTTGAAATTATTTGTTGACACATGTGTGGCGTTTCCAGATCCCAACTCTACAACCGTGTCCTATTATTTGGAAAAAAATGGGTGAGTATGTTGCATCATATTTCTTAAGAAACCTCCAGTATTTCTCAAGAAAGTTATGGAGACCATTTTCAGTCCCTAAGTATTTGATATATAAATGAATGATAAATATGGTATATAGCAGAACAGTTCACATCCAAATAATCTTTAACAAAGGGATGGATGTACTTTGTGCTCGCAATTGAGTGGATTGATCTATTGTGTGGATTCATATATCAGTGGTCTTGTCAGAAGTCCTTTTGACTTTTTATTTATTTATTTATTTAACTTATTTAGTCCACCTTTCTTACTTAGTCTCCAATTAGATTACACAAATTAGAATCAATGTGTTAAGAGTAGTATAATATATACAATCAACAGTGTAATAAAAGTGCATTACAAAATTAAAGATCAGGACCCCCAAAGCAAAATGAAAAATGCAATAACACAATGAAAACTGTACAACAATGCTACAAAACTGGATTCCCAAATCAAAGAAACAATATTATAAGATATACAGTGAGCAAAGCCATGAAAGCTACTGTGAGGCTCTTCGCTCACCAGCACCATCCCCTGGCCTATGGCTGTTGCACTGCTTTACTGCTCTGGGATTTACCCTAGGCTAACACTAGCTTCATAACAGGAGGAGGGGGTGCATAAAAGTTGCACCATTCAGGTCCTTCCTCTCTTTCCTGGAGCAGTGTTCCTGCAGAGTATGGAACATTCCTCCTTACTGCTTCTTCCCTGGCCTGGTTGTGGAGCCACCATTTATGCTTCCTCTCCACCCCCATCAATCAGTCCCAGCCCCACCTCCCTGCCACTATGACCTGAGCCATTATCTGAGCCAGGGGTTGGAGTACCACTTACCCTAGTCTCTTCCTCCATCCTTGCTGGCCTTCCCCCTTTCTCTCTCTGGCCAGTTCAGCCAGCCCTTATCTGCCTCTCTCCTCCCAGATTCTTGCATGGCTGTGCTCCTTCTGTGCCCCACCCAGGCTATCATGATGAGGCTTTTGCTGACTGCCTCCACACTTGCTGGATGCCCTGTAATTATCTTTGTTGTCCTGGTGCATCAGCAGGCCCATGTTTTTGTGCCGTCTTGCTTTGATTGTTTTAATTGTTTAATTGTTTCCATGTTATTGTTTTTATTGCTATTGTGGATGTTGTGAGCCCACTTGTGCAGTAGGGAGGGATATAAATTTAATTCATAAATAAATGCCCAGCTGCTGCAGCTATCTGCTGCATATGACCACATCTTAGGACTTCTGGCCCAGCAGATGGTAGCTGCCAGAGGTCTGAGGGAGGTGGGTGGTCCGAGTCAGCTCCTGCAGCACTGGAGAAGTCCCTGGCTTTGTCACAGGAGCCTTAACTAAAGGTAGGCCAGGTGCTGGCCAGGGACAGCTACCTTTTAAAACATTTTTTTATTATTATTTGGTTTGCAGAAATACAGTATATGACTATCATAAGCACACATCCATTTAAATTAAACAGTACAATTACACAACACAGTGTTAAATGTATAAATGTATACAATTAATCACTTATCAATCAAACTCCACTTCGTGTACAGCAGTTCAATCCTAAGTAAAAACAACGGCTACGACTCAGAACAATGAGGGTTCCTGCTATCATTTATAGTATCCTTAAGAAAGCCAGTGTGGTGTAGTGGTTAAGAGCGGTGGACTCTAGTCTGGAAAACTGGGTTTGATTCCCCACTGCTCGAAATTAAGCCAGCTGGGCACTTTGGGTCTGTCCCAGTTCTCTCAGAACTCTCTCAGCCCCACCTACTCCTCCACAGGGTGTCTGTTGGGGGAAGAGGAAGGGAAGGCGATTATAAGCCGCTCTGAGACTCCTTTGGGTAGAAAAAAGTAGGGTGTAAAAGCCAGCCATTCTCTTTCTTCTAAAGTTCTAAGACATTAACTATAATCCTAATTCCTTTTATGAAAGGCCCTTCTGAACAGTTCTGTTTTATATTCTGTGGAATGTTAGAGGCATCCTCTCTACTCTCATTCCCTGTAAGTCTGGGAAGGAACAGAAGCTAATCCTCTACAGCTGTTGCCCTGTTTGTTTTAAATAAGGCACAGCGTGCTGTGCATGTACAGAAAGGATCCCCAAACTCTTCTAGGATTTTTTCATCCCACATTAGTGTAGGTGCCATTTTGCTTCTCATAGCAGCTGTGTTAGACATGTCATGTGGTTGTAGCAAAGCTGTTCTGGTGGCTTTGGAAAGAAACAGGACCAGCTGTCATGTCATCATGCAGCCAGTTGGTGATCAATACATGGGTGGCAGGAAATTTCTTGCTTTTGGAGAAACAGCTGGGGATGGACCTCAGGCATCCAGTACAAACCACCTACTTTGTAACTCCACGAACAATGCTGCTTCAAGCTCCTTCCACACTATGTCTTCTTTATCTTCCTGTGAATTCCATGGATAGGAAGAAGAAAGATCTATCCTACCTGTTCATGGCTCCAGTCTCTAGATTTAAGTGTACACGGATCTGGATAACTTGAGAATTAGATATATCAATTTAAACAAATCTGAGACATTTGTGATTTCTTTCCAGATGTCCAAAAGATTCTACCTATCGATTTCTGAATTCGCCAAGTGACAAGACTGCTCGCTTCACATTCAAGGCCTTCAAGTTTCTTTGGAGACACAGCACAGTTTACTTGAAATGCTGGCTTGAAGTATGCGAATTACATGATTATGCATCCCATTGCTACCAGGGGTGCTCACACAGACAAAAGAGGGAAGCAGGTGCACTCCAGAACCAGCTGGCTGTAACTGTGGGACCGCTCCAGCTTCAAGCAGAAGACTGAAAACACGGTAATTTCTTGCTTCTTTCTCTTGCTATGACAATGACCATTAAGACTGGTGCCCCATCCAGGACACTTCCAGTTTTGAGAACCAGGTTGGGGATTCTGTTGTGTACCTCCCTCCCTGCTGCTTAATAGTCTTTGTGCATAAACTGACAGGGGGCAATGCTGACGATCCCTCAGCTGGTTCATGGCCTCCATGACAACCATGGGCCTGTCTCAAGTAATAACTGTGCAGGTCACACGCGTGATCTCATATTTTGTTCTGAGGAAGAGGAAATTATGACAGTTCCTTTGTCATAGGCAGATCACTATTTGCTCAGGTTTTATTATATTATTTATTGAAAACATTTGTGAGCCACTTTTTTTTTCTTGTGGAGCTCAAGCTGTCTTACAACATAGATAAGACATATAGAATAAAATACATTAAAAACACAAATGCCAACGTTTAAACACTGTGCCCCTCAGTTCCAGTGTTGAGATGCTGCTCAGTAGGATATGTTGGTTGGTAGTAATGAAGGCTGCTGAGAGATGCAGCAGAACTAGCAGGATCATATTCCACTATCTAGTTAAGCACCTAAGAACATATCAGAAGCCATATTGGATCAGGCCAATGGCCCATCTAGTCCAACACTCTGGGTGCGTTCAGACAGGGCATTTACAACGGTATAGGTGCCGGTTGGAATCGGTGAACTTACCGGCGTTCACACGTAGAACATCTGCCTTCCGTCCCTAACCGTTGCAAAGAGCTTTAAACCGTTGTATTCTGCCACTAGGTCCCCAAGTGGTGGTATTCTGAGTGCACCGGTTGTAATCGCTTTACCCCCCCGGTCTGATTGCTCTCCACCGTTATAGAGCCACTTCCGTTCGGCTTCCGATTTTCACCCGCCTTTTATTTTTTTAGGTCGGCAATATGTGCTTGGGCGAAGCTTCGCCCTGGCGTTTGTTTAAAAAAAGAAAGAAAAGGTCCTTAGTTTAAGGTTTTAGAGGAGGCTCCATCTAGCTCTTGTGGCTAATAGTCACTCATGGACCTCTGCTCCATATACTTATCCAATCCCCTCTTGAAGCTGTCTATGCTTCTAGCTGCCACCCTGTGGCAGTGAATTCCATGTGTTAATTACTCCTTGGGTGAAGAAGTACTTCCCTTTATCTGTGCTAAACCTGCTGCTCATTAATTTCATTGAGTGTCCATGAGTTCTTACATTGTGAGAAAAGTACTGCGTTCCCTATCTTCTCTATCCATTTTGGTGTAGTGGTTAAGTGTGCGGACTCTAATCTGGGAGAACCGAGTTTGATTCCCCACTCCTCCACTTCCACCTGCTGGATTACCTTGGGCAAGCCATAATTCTGGCACAGCTGTTCTTGAAAAAGATCAGTTTCTGTCAGAGCTCTCAGCCCCACCTACCTCCTAGGGTGTCTGTTGTGGGGAGGGGAAGGGAAAAGAGTTTGTAAACTGCTCTGAGACTCCTCTGGGTAGTGAAGGGACTCCTCCTCCTCTATCCCACGCATAATTTTGTAAACCTCTATCCTGTCACCTCTCAGTTGTCATTTCTCCAAGCTAAAGACCCCTAACATCTTTAACCTTTCTTCATAGAAATGGCGTTCCATCCCCTTAATCATTTAGGTGTCATTTTCTGCACTTTTCCCAACACTAAAATATATATTTTTCCAGATACGGTGAGCAGACCTGTACACTATATTCCAAACGAGGCAGCACCATAGATTTATGCAGGGACATTATGATACTGGTTGATTGGTTTTCAATCTCTTTCCTAATAATCCCCAGCATAGCAGTTGCCTTTTTTATTGCTGTCGCACACTGAATTGACATTTTCATGGAATTATCTACCACAACTTCAAGATCTCTCTCCTGGTCAGTTACTGCCAGTTCAGACCCCATCAGTGTGTGTGTGTGTGTGTGTGTGTGTGTGTGTGTGTGTGTAGGAGTTTTGGCTCCAATGTGCATTACTTTGCACTTGCCCATGTTGAACATGTTGATGCCCACTCACCCAGCCTCGACAGATCCCTCTAGAGTGCCTCACAATTCTCCCTGGTTCTCACCACCCTGAACAACTTAGTGTCATCCACAAATTTAGCCACTTCCCCCACTTACTCCCAACTCCAAATCATTAATGAACCAGTTAAAAAGCCCTGGACCTAGGACCAAGCCCTGCAATATCCCACTGCTTACTACCTTCCACTGTGAAAACTGCCCATTTATACTCAGTTTTTGTTTTCTGTTAATTAACTAGTTTTTAATCCACAAAGGTCTTGTCCTCTTATCCCATGACTGCTGAGTTTACTTAGGAGCCTTTGATGAGGAATTTTATCAAAAGCTTTCTGGAAGTCTAGGTAAATGACATCTACTGGGTCACCCTTGTCCACATGTTTCTATACCCCCTCAAAGAACTCTAAAAAGTTACTGAGACAAGATCATCCTTTACAGAATCCAGGCTGTTTCTTCTTCAGTAGCTTTTATTCATCAATTCTATCTTTAGTAATGGATTCCACCAATTTACCTGGTATCGACGTCAGACTGAATGACCTGTAATTTCCCAGAGCTCATCTGGAACCTTTTTTACAGATGGGTGTTACATTAGCTACATTCCAATCCTTGGGAATACAGGCATATTTTAGTGATAGATTGCATATTTTTGTCAGGAGATCCATAAGTTCAAATTTGAGTTCTTTTAGAACTCTTGGATGTATGCCATCTGGGCCTGGTGATTTCTCAGTTTTTAAAATTTTTACATCAATTGTAGGACCTCCTCTCTCATCACCTCAAACCAACTCATGTCTTTCAACCCCCCTCCTGAAATTGGCAGTTCTGGAGTGGGCAAGCACCTCCCATCTTCCACAGTGAAGCCAGAGGCAAAAAAATCATTTAGCTTCCATTTTCCTATCATTCTTTAGTAGTCCTTTTACCCCTTGGTCATCCAATAGCCCCATGGCGTCTCTGGCTGGTTTTCTGCTTCTAATGTATTTGAATAATTTTTTATTGTTGGTCTTTATGTTTTTTGCAGTATGTTCTTCATAGTCTGTTTTTGCCTGTCTGATCAGTGACTTGCATTTTATTTGGCAAAGCCTGTACTCTCTTTTATGTACCTCATTCGGACAAGCCTTCCACCTTACAGAGGACTTATAGTTCTCTGTAAAGGTCATCAGCCTAGGCAACCAAAGCAGTCTCTGTTCCCAACCCCAGCCTGAAGGCAGATTGAAATGGGTCCAGAAAATTAGATTCTTCCAAGAGACCCTGGAGTGAGAAGCAACATCCACTCTAGCACCTTTTCCAAGAATGGAAGAATAGAGAGCATTTACCACCACTCCTACCCACTCAGCCCCACTCTGGCGACTTTTATCAGCAAGAAAGGGCAAGGATCAAGAACACAGGTGGTGTGTCTCACTTCTCCAAGGATCTTGTCCACATGCTCAGGCTCCACAAGCTGGAAGGTATCCATATAAACTAGACAAGTGGGTGCCAAAGGTACATCATCTGACATGCATCCATGCCAGCATCCACACCAGCATTTAACCCAGAGCAGAACTGGGTGATTTTGTCAGCAAAGCAGTTTAGATCATAGAGATACCAAAACTTTGCAGGGGTGTGGAATCTATGAAAATGATTTGTCTGAGGAAGCCAACTCTGTGTTTGGAAATTCCTGGAGATTTGAGCCAGTGCTTCTGGAGGGGGGAATTTGGGGAGGGATTTCACCTAGAATCTATGGAAGTTGCTCTCCAAAGCTGCTGTTATCTTGCTGGTTATGACTCTGGTTGCAAAAACAGTAAAGACAATAAAAATAGCTGCCATTTTTTCCAATATAATGAATCTATGCAGTCTAGAAATCAGTTATAAATGTGGGAGAACTCCAGATGCATCTAGAGGCTAGTAACCCCACATCCACCCCCAGAGCCAGATGGCTCCAAATGGCTTTCTGATGCCTTTAGTGGATTTTCTGTTGATATGGCTGGTGCTTCCATTGATTAACATCTGGAATAAGGAAATGACCCCGAAGTAGGAAGCTTCTCTTAACTGCCAGCAAACTGGCCAGCAAGGGGGAATAACCCCCTGAAACAGTCAAGCAGCCAGAAATAAATGCAATGTGCCTGTGTCACCCGGAAGTGATTTTGGGGCAAAACTCTATGGGAGAAGCTAATTTTACCATAAAGGTTTTGCCCACAAACCAGAGTGTTGTCCCTGATGTCCCCGATGTGCCTACGTCACTTCTGGGTGACGTAGGCATATTGCATTTATTTCTGGCTTCTTCCCTCCCCGCTCCTGGTAAGTTCACCCCCATCCCTGCTGGCTTGTCTGGCGGACCCAGTAACCCTATCCTGGTGCTTGATGTGATCGCTCCCAGACACCCTCTCTCAAGTCTTAGAGTCCAGGTAGCCCCCTTTTATCCTGAGAGGCTGCAGGCACTGAAGAGACAAAGGAGACAGCTAGAGTTACAATGGAGGAAGATATGGGATGAATCTGATAAAACACTGATGAAAACTCATTTTAAAGCATACCCCATGGCAGTCTTGGCAACAAAGACACAATACACTTCTGCCACCATTGTGTCTGCACACTGTAGGCCAGTGGAGCAATTCAGGATAGTAAGAGGCCTGTTGGATCCAGCCTGCTGGAAGAGGTGAACTCAGTGGCTCACTGTGAATGTTTTGCTCCAACTTGGACTCTACAATAGCAGTGACAGGGTGAGATGTTGCCAGGATACTAACTTGTCCAGCTGTACTGGATACCTTTCAGTTTAATCAGTGTGAGAATGTAGAAAGGATCTTTCAAATTTGAGGCCTACCACCTGTTTCTATGACCCTTGCCCTTCCTGGTTACTTAAATCTTGGGGGGGGGGGACTGACTAGGTTAAAAA